TGTTAATGGCTGGCTTGTTTCTTTGGTTGGTAGATGCCTTGGTCCCTGTTAATGCCTGGCTTGTTTGTTTGGTTGGCAGATGCGTGGTCCCTGTTAAGGACTGGCTTATTTCTTTTGGTTGGCAGATGCCTTGGTCCCTGTTAATGGCTGGCTTGTTTGTTTGATTGGTATATGCCTTGGTCCCTGTTAAGGACTGGCTTGTTTCTTTGGTTGGTAGATGCCTTGGTCCCTGTTAATGACTGGCTTGTTTCTTTGGTTGGTAGATGCCTTGGTCCCTGTTAATGACTGGCTTGTTTGTTTGGTTGGCAGATGCGTGGTCCCTGTTAAGGACTGGCTTGTTTCTTTTGGTTGGCAGATGCCTTGGTCCCTGTTAATGGCTGGCTTGTTTGTTTGATTGGTATATGCCTTGGTCCCTGTTAATGGCTGGCTTGTTTCTTTTGGTTGGTAGATGCCTTGGTCCCTGTTAATGGCTGGCTTGTTTCTTTTGGTTGGCAGATGCCTTGGTCCCTGTTAATGGCTGGCTTGTTTCTTTTGGTTGGCAGATGCCTTGGTCCCTGTTAATGGCTGGCTTGTTTCTTTTGGTTGGCAGATGCCATGGTCCCTGTTAATGGCTGGCTTGTTTCTTTTGGTTGGCAGATGCCTTGGTCCCTGTTAATGGCTGGCTTGTTTGTTTGGTTGGTAGATGCCTTGGTCCCTGTTAATGGCTGGCTTGTTTCTTTTGGTTGGTAGATGCCTTGGTCCCTGTTAATGGCTGGCTTGTTTCATTTGGTTGGTATATGCCTTGGTCCCTGTTAATGACTGGCTTGTTTCTTTGGTTGGTAGATGCCTTGGTCCCTGTTAATGACTGGCTTGTTTGTTTGGTTGGCAGATGCGTGGTCCCTGTTAATGACTGGCTTGTTTCTTTTGGTTGGCAGATGCCTTGGTCCCTGTTAATGGCTGGCTTGTTTGTTTGATTGGTATATGCCTTGGTCCCTGTTAATGGCTGGCTTGTTTCTTTTGGTTGGCAGATGCCTTGGTCCCTGTTAATGGCTGGCTTGTTTCTTTTGGTTGGCAGATGCCTTGGTCCCTGTTAATGGCTGGCTTGTTTGTTTGGTTGGTAGATGCCTTGGTCCCTGTTAATGGCTGGCTTGTTTCTTTTGGTTGGTAGATGCCTTGGTCCCTGTTAATGGCTGGCTTGTTTCTTTTGGTTGGTAGATGCCTTGGTCCCTGTTAATGGCTGGCTTGTTTGTTTGATTGGTAGATGCCTTGGTCCCTGTTAATGGCTGGCTTGTTTCTTTTGGTTGGCAGATGCCTTGGTCCCTGTTAATGGCTGGCTTGTTTGTTTGATTGGTATATGCCTTGGTCCCTGTTAATGGCTGGCTTGTTTCTTTTGGTTGGCAGATGCCTTGGTCCCTATTAATGATTGGCTTGTTTGTTTGATTGGTAGATGCCTTGGTCCCTGTTAATGGCTGGCTTGTTTGTTTGGTTGGTAGATGCCTTGGTCCCTGTTAATGGCTGGCTTGTTTCTTTTGGTTGGCAGATGCCTTGGTCCCTATTAATGATTGGCTTGTTTGTTTGATTGGTAGATGCCTTGGTCCCTGTTAATGACTGGCTTGTTTGTTTGATTGGTAGATGCCTTGGTCCCTGTTAATGGCTGGCTTATTTGTTTGGTTGGTAGATGCCTTGGTCCCTGTTAATGGCTGGCTTGTTTGTTTGGTTGGTAGATGCCTTGGTCCCTGTTAATGACTGGCTTGTTTGTTTGGTTGGTAGATGCCTTGGTCCCTGTTAATGGCTGGCTTGTTTCTTTTGGTTGGCAGATGCCTTGGTCCCTATTAATGATTGGCTTGTTTGTTTGATTGGTAGATGCCTTGGTCCCTGTTAATGACTGGCTTGTTTGTTTGATTGGTAGATGCCTTGGTCCCTGTTAATGACTGGCTTGTTTGTTTGGTTGGTAGATGCCTTGGTCCCTGTTAATGGCTGGCTTGTTTCTTTTGGTTGGCAGATGCCTTGGTCCCTATTAATGATTGGCTTGTTTGTTTGATTGGTAGATGCCTTGGTCCCTGTTAATGACTGGCTTCTTTGTTTGGTTGGTAGATGCCTTGGTCCCTGTTAATGACTGGCTTGTTTCTTTTGGTTGGTAGATGCCTTGGTCCCTGTTAATGACTGGCTTGTTTCTTTTGGTTGGCAGATGCCTTGGTCCCTGTTAATGGCTGGCTTGTTTGTTTGGTTGGTAGATGCCTTGGTCCCTGTTATGGACTGGCTTGTTTGTTTGGTCGGTAGATGCCTTGGTCCCTGTTAATGGCTGGCTTGTTTGTTTGGTTGGTAGATGCCTTGGTCCCTGTTAATGACTGGCTTGTTTGTTTGGTTGGCAGATGCCTTGGTCCCTGTTAATGGCTGGCTTGTTTGTTTGGTTGGTAGATGCCTTGGTCCCTGTTAATGGCTGGCTTGTTTGTTTGATTGGTAGATGCCTTGGTCCCTGTTAAGGACTGGCTTCTTTGTTTGGTCGGTAGATGCCTTGGTCCCTGTTAATTGCTGGCTTGTTTGTTTGGTTGGTAGATGCCTTGGTCCCTGTTAATGACTGGCTTGTTTGTTTGGTTGGCAGATGCCTTGGTCCCTGTTAATGACTGGCTTATTTGTTTGGTTGGTAGATGCCTTGGTCCCTGTTAATGACTGGCTTGTTTGTTTGGTCGGTAGATGCCTTGGTCCCTGTTAATGACTGGCTTGTTTGTTTGATTGGTAGATGCCTTGGTCCCTGTTAATGACTGGCTTGTTTGTTTGATTGGTAGATGCCTTGGTCCCTGTTAAGGACTGGCTTGTTTGTTTGGTCTGTAGATGCCTTGGTCCCTGTTAATGGCTGGCTTGTTTGTTTGGTTGGTAGATGCCTTGGTCCCTGTTAATGGCTGGCTTGTTTGTTTGGTTGGTAGATGCCTTGGTCCTTGTTAATGACTGGCTTATTTGTTTGGTTGGTAGATGCCTTGGTCCCTGTTAATGACTGGCTTATTTGTTTGATTGGTAGATGCCTTGGTCCCTGTTAATGACTGGCTTGTTTGTTTGGTTGGTAGATGCCTTGGTCCCTGTTAATGACTGGCTTATTTGTTTGGTTGGTAGATGCCTTGGTCCTTGTCAATGGCTGGCTTGTTTCTTTTGGCTGGCAGATGCCTTGGTCCCTGTTAATGGCTGGCTTGTTTCTTTTGGCTGGCAGATGCCTTGGTCCCTGTTAATGGCTGGCTTGTTTCTTTGATTGGTAGATGCCTTGGTTTCTGTAAATGGTTTCTTTCTCATGGTCAGGATTGTTCATGAGATGAATTATTTTGAGGCAGTCGTCATATGGCTAAACTATTATTGAGTGCAACGTCAACGGAAAAAAACATGACATGATCGGGCGTTGGACAGACATTAACATCACTGCACACTCAGACGTTTTTGTCTTTGTGACTCATTTCCCACTGTGGACTAAATGTCGGCTACATCCTGTTTGCCTCACAGGAAAGCGTGTGTGCAAATGTCATGGTGTATTGTGCGTCCGTCCTACACCGCGACGGTGACAGTGCCATTAAGGACTGCTTACAATGTAATGTTGATTTTAGACATGGCCGCCATTGCATCAATATCAGTCATTCAATATGCTGACAATGCAATATCCCCATATCATCTCAGACAATACGGTTAAGTAGTCAGCTGAAGTTTCATTAAAACATGTTTCTAGGTTTGTCAACACCATACCCGTGTGGGTTTCACCAAAGTGGTAAACGTCTGAGACATGCATCACTTTCCTCCCACATTAAGCTGACACGCCGTCGTATAACTGGAATGATGTTTAAAGCGGCGTTAAACCCAACTCTCTTCATTAAACACTTGTTTTCATTTGTAAGGGACCCGTGTTTTTCTTTAAAAAGAAGTTCAGGCTCACAGTTTTAAATACTGAATATCTGGTTTTACAGCTGAAGCTGAAAAATATCTAATCTCGACCAAGGATCCGAACAGGGCTATCAAGCTGGCAACATGAATAATGTTTCCCACTGTTTGTTTCTTTGTTGTTTAACGCGGCACTCTGCGATATTCCTGCTATATAAGGGCGGTCCAGTGATTGATATCATGAGCATCGATCCACGCAATTGGGATACGATGACATGCATCAACCAAGTCAGCGAACCTGACCCCCCCTTCCCGTTAGTCGCCTCTTACGACAAGCATGGTCGCCTTCCCACTGTGTGGCTGTACCTGTATGTTTGAGTTGGTTATTTCAAGCATGTACATAACCACGTTGATAAAAGATGTAGCCTCTATTTTATATTTTGTAAGCAGAGATAGAGTCCTTGAATTTCCTGTCCATATTTTCCTCATATAAACTTACAGATTAAGTTTTTTGTTACCCGCCAGTGTTTATGATTTGTGAGGCGAATTTGATAGTATTTCATAACAAATTCAGAACATCCTGTACGGATATGTGTTAACGACACAAACGTGAAATTAAGCACCCCTGTAGCCAGGTTTTCCTGAATACCCGCCAAGTAGTATCAAGCTGGATTCGTTGTCAAGACAAACAACGTCAATAGTTTACCCTAGGACTCGGACAGCGGCGATAACGATTCGGACAACAGCGACACCGATTCCGAATGCACTGTCACGGCTTCAGAAACCTGCAACAGTGACTCCGATTGAACACCCAAAACGGCTTTTAAGATGACCACCATATACGGTGCACATGCTTGTTCATTACCTGGCTGTTCCATGAGCGACTGGTCCTCCCTGGTATGGGATGACGAAAAATGTCAACAATATGAAGATCGTTTGTTAAACAATTTTTTTATTCGGGTGTCCAAAATTATGAGACAAACCCTCAGAGTTGGTCTGTCCAATTCATGTCGCTGTGCACATTTTGGTTTTGTTGCAATTATTAGATTTTGAGTTAGTGAGCAACTCATCGGTCTCAGATGGAATCAAACGGACTGTAAATGTTATTAAAAAATTCTATGACTAAAACACTTGATTGGAGGGTATAGAAAGCACTAAACGAAATCATGTTGTGTGGTGTTGTTATGGTGTTCAAAGGTACATCATAATGTCACTTGTAGTTGTACTTTAGGATGTATTTGCCATAATAAACACGATATGACGTATACATACATCACGCTTTTGTTGGGATTTTAGAATCATTCCAAGGGACCGGTCCTCTTGTGATCGTTATCTTCAATAAATACTGAAATTATTGCTTGTTTACCGCTGCATAAAATAGGTTTTCACATTGTTTCAGGTTAATACTTCCACTTGAACGTGTTCTTCACATATTTCAAAAGTTAGAGACAGAAGAAACTTCAAAAGCTAAATTTTGTAATTTCCAAAACCCTCAGATACATTACGATCAACACAGGGGAGAATGATTTATCTCTACCAAATAAGAAAAAGAGAGATAATACTTGTGAGAAGTATATAGATTGTATGCAACGCGGCACTTGCTAAGAACTATAAAAGTCGCTGGGAGAGAGAGAGAGAGGGGGGGGGGGGGGGGGGGAGGGGGAGTTGTGTGTATGAAAATATGTTCCCGCATTTCCATTAACAGTTCCCATGCTTGCCGTTAAAGGCGACTATGCTTGTCTTGGCGACTAACGGGATCTTGTGGTCGGGCTCCCTGACCTGGTTAATGTCATCTTATCCCAATTGCTTGGATCGATGCTCATGATGTCAATCACTTGATTGGCTGCCGTCATATAGCTGGAATATTGCTAAGTGGGGCGTTAAACAACAAACAAACAAACAGTTCCAGTTGGTTGCACTGACATCCGCTGCAAGTCATTATGATTGACGTGGATGTACTCAGCTGGAACTGTCGTCTTACGTATCGTAATTATCTGTTCAGAGTTGCGTCCCTCAGGCGTCCCAGGATCCTATGATAGTGGATTTGAATACCAGTACACCCTGATTATGTTTCTGGGTTTGTCAAGTTTTCACGTCGTGATACGCGTATACCATCGCCGTAGGACGGGACAGAGACCTCAAGTGGAACATCGCTGTAGGACGGGACAGAGACCTCAAGTGTAACATCGCTGAAGGGCGGGACAGAGACCTCAAGTGTAACATCGCTGTAGGACGGGACAGAGACCTCAAGTGTAACATCACTGTAGGACAGGACAGAGACCTCAAGTGTAACATCGCTGAAGGACGGGACAGAGACCTCAAGTGTAACATCGCCGTAGGACGGGACAGAGACCTCAAGTGTAACATCGCCGTAGGGCGGGACAGAGACCTCAAGTGTAACATCACTGTAGGACAGGACAGAGACCTCAAGTGTAACATCGCCGTAGGACGGGACAGAGACCTCAAGTGTAACATCGCTGTAGGGCGGGACAGAGACCTCAAGTGTAACACCATTGTATGACGGGAGAGAGACCTCAAGTGTAACATCGCTGTAGGACGGGTCTGAGCCCTCAAGTGAAACATCGCTGTACAACGGGACAGACACCTCAAGTGTTACATCGCTGTAGGACGGGACAGAGACCTCAAGTGTAACATCGCTGTAGGATGGGAGAGAGACCTCAAATGTAACATTGCTGTAGGACGGGACAGAGACCTCAAGTGTAACACCGCTGTACGACGGGACAGACACCTCAAGTGTTACATCGCTGTAGGACGGGACAGAGGCCTCAAGTGTAACATCGCTGTAGGACGGGAGAGAGACCTCAAATGTAACATCAATGTAGGGCGGGACAAAGACCTCAAGTGTAACATCACTGTACAACGGGACAGAGACCTCAAGTGTAACACCATTGTATGACGGGAGAGAGACCTCAAGTGAAACATCGCTGTAGGACGGGTCTGAGACCTCAAGTGTAACATCGCTGTACGACAGGACATACACCTCAAGTGTTACATCGCTGTAGGACGGGACAGAGACCTCAAGTGTAACATCGCTGTACGACGGGTCTGAGACCTCAAGTGTTACATCACTGTAGGACGGGACAGAGGCCTCAAGTGTAACATCGCTGTAGGACGGGAGAGAGACCTCAAGTATAACATTGCTGTAGGACGGGACAGAGACCTCAAGTGTTACATCGATGTAGGACGGGTCTGAGACCTCAAGTGTAACATCGCTGTAGGACGGGTCTGAGACCTCAAGTGTAACATCGCTGTAGGACGGGTCTGAGACCTCAAGTGTAACATCGCTGTAGGGCGGGAGAGAGACCTCAAGTGTAACATCGCTGAAGGACGGGACAGGGACCTCAAGTGTAACATCGCTGAAGGACGGGACAGAGACCTCAAGTGTAACATCGCTGTAGGACGGGAGAGAGACCTCAAGTGTAACATCGCTTTAGGGCGGGACAGAGACCTCAAGTGTAACATCGCTGTACAACGGGAAAGAGGCCTCAAGTGTAACACAATTGTATGACGGGAGAGACACCTCAAGTGTAACATCGATGTAGGGCGGGACAGAGACCTCAAGTGTAACATCACTGTAGGACGGGACAGAGACCTCAAGTGTAACATCGCTGTAGGATGGGACAGAGACCTCAAGTGTAACATCGCTGTAGGGCGGGACAGAGACCTCAAGTGTTACATCGCTGTAGGGCGGGACAGAGACCTCAAGTGTAACATCGCTGTAGGACGGGACAGAGACCTCAAGTGTAACACCATTGTATGACGGGATAGAGACCTCAAGTGTAACATCGCTGTAGGACGTGTCTGAGACCTCAAGTGAAACATCGCTGTACGACGGGACAGACACCTCAAGTGTTACATCGCTGTAGGAAGGGACAGTGAGTGAGTGAGTATAGTTTTACGCCGCTTTTAGCAATATTCCAGCAATATTACGGCGGGGGACACCAGAAATTGGCTTCACACATTGTACCCATGTCGGGAATCGAACCCGGGTCTTCAGCATGACGAGCGAACGCTTTAACCACTAGGCTACCCGACCGCCCGTAGGAAGGGACAGAGGCCTCAAGTGTAACATCGCTGTAGGACGGGAGAGAGACCTCAAGTGTAACACTGCTGTAGGACGGGAGAGAGACCACAAGTGTAACATCGCTGTAGGGCGGGAGAGAGACCTCAAGTGTAACATCGCTGTAGGACGGGACAGAGACCTCAAGTGTAACATCGCTGTACGACGGGACAGACACCTCAAGTGTTACATCGCTGTAGGACGGGACAGAGGCCTCAAGTGTAACATCGCTGTAGGACGGGAGAGAGACCTCAAGTATAACATTGCTATAAGACGGGTCTGAGACCTCAACTGTAACATCGCTGTAGGGCGGGACAGAGACCTCAAGTGTAACATCGCTGTAGGACGGGTCTGAGACCTCAAGTGTAACATCGCTGAAGGACGGGACAGAGACCTCAAGTGTAACATCGCTGTAGGGCGGGTCTGAGACCTCAAGTGTAACATCGCTTTAGGGCGGGACAGAGACCTCAAGTGTAACATCGCTGTACAACGGGACAGAGACCTCAAGTGTAACACCATTGTATGACGGGAGAGACACCTCAAGTGTAACATGGCTGAAGGACGGGACAGAGACCTCAAGTGTAACACCATTGTATGACGGGAGAGACACCTCAAGTGTAACATCGCTGTAGGGCGGGACAGAGACCTCAAGTGTAACATCGCTGTAGGGCGGGACAGAGACCTCAAGTGTAACACCATTGTATGACGGGAGAGACACCTCAAGTGTAACATCGCTGTAGGACGGGACAGAGACCTCAAGTGTAACACCATTGTATGACGGGAGAGACACCTCAAGTGTAACATCGCTGTAGGGCGGGACAGAGACTTCAAGTGTAACATCGCTGTAGGGCGGGACAGAGACCTCAAGTGTAACATCGCTGTAGGGCGGGACAGAGACCTCAAGTGTAACATCGCTGTAGGGCGGGACAGAGACCTCAAGTGTAACATTGCTGTAGGGCGGGACAGACACCTCAAGTGTAACATCGCTGTAGGACAGGACAGGACAGAGACCTCAAGTGTAACACCATTGTATGACGGGATAGAGACCTCAAGTACAACATCGCTGTAGGACGGGTCTGAGACCTCAAGTACAACATCGCTGTACAACGGGAAAGACACCTCAAGTGTTACATCGCTGTAGGACGGGAGAGAGACCTCAAGTGTAACATCGCTGTAGGACGGGTCTGAGACCTCAAGTGTAACATCGCTTTAGGGCGGGACAGAGACCTCAAGTGTAACATGGCTGTAGGACGGGACAGAGACCTCAAGTGTAACATCGCTGAAGGACGGGACAGAGACCTCAAGTTTAACATCGCTGTAGGACGGGATAGAGACCTCAAGTGTAACACCATTGTATGACGGGTCTGAGACCTCAAGTGTAACATCGCTGTAGGGCGGGACAGAGACCTCAAGTGTAACATCGCTGTAGGGCGGGACAGAGACCTGAAGTGTAACATCGCTGTAGGGCGGGACAGAGACCTCAAATGTAACATCGCTGTAGGGTGGGACAGAGACCACAAGTGTAACATTGCTGTAGGGCGGGACAGAGACCTCAAGTGTAACATCGCTGTAGGACAGGACAGAGACCTCAAGTGTAACACCATTGTATGACGGGATAGAGACCTCAAGTACAACATCGCTGTAGGACGGGTCTGAGACCTCAAGTACAACATCGCTGTACAACGGGAAAGACACCTCAAGTACAACATCGCTGTAGGACGGGTCTGAGACCTCAAGTGTAACACTGATGTAGGACGGGAGAGAGACCTCAAGTGTAACATCGCTGTAGGGCGGGACAGAGACCTCAAGTGTAACATGGCTGTAGGACGGGACAGAGACCTCAAGTTTAACATCGCTGTAGGACGGGATAGAGACCTCAAGTGTAACATCGCTGTAGGACGGGACAGAGGCCTCAAGTGTAACATCGCTGTAGGACGGGAGAGAGACCTCAAGTGTAACATTGCTGTAGGACGGGAGAGAGACCTCAAGTGTAACATCGATGTAGAACGGTTCTGAGACCTCAAGTGTAACATCGCTGAAGGACGGGACAGAGACCTCAAGTATAACATCGCTGTAGGACGGGTCTGAGACCTCAAGTGTAACATCGCTGAAGGACGGGATAGAGACCTCAAGTGTAACATCGCTGTAGGACGGGCCTGAGACCTCAAGTGTAACATCGCTGTAGGATGAGTCTGAGACCTCAAGTGTAACATCGCTGTAGGACGGGACAGAGACCTCAAGTGTAACATCGCTGTAGGACGGGTCTGAGACCTCAAGTGTAACATCGCTGTAGGGCGGGACAGAGACCTCAAGTATAACATCGCTGTAGGACGGGTCTGAGACCTCAAGTGTAACATCGCTGTAGGACGGGACAGAGACCTCAAGTGTAACATCGCTGTAGGACGGGTCTGACACCTCAATTGTAACACCATTGTACGACGGGACAGAGACCTCAAGTGTAACATCGCTGTAGGACGGGACAGAGACCTCAATTGTAAAATACGGGACAGAGACCAAGTTCAGTGTGGGGTGGATCAGAAATCCAACTTACAATGTAAAATCAAGCTCATCCATCCGTCTTTCCCCTGCAAACACGGGACCCTGTCTCATCAATCATGTGACGCCTGTTTCCGCTTGTGCTGCTTGATGCGAGGCGGAGACAGGATATATAGGTGACGGTTTCCGGACATTCTTGTCAATGTGATGCATGCAGCATAATGTATGTTGACAAGCACGGTGACTGCATGTGGACGAAGATATTTCATTGAGGAAATAACAAGCCATCTAACAACATGAGCAGGAAAGAGATTAAAATACATTACCAGGTTACCATTGATCGTGTCAGTTCTGACGCGACACGTTCCCAATACATGCTTCTTCATGCATTAGGTCGTGGACTCTTGGTACCAATAACCACATCGCGACAGGGACATGCAAGTTGAGGATGTGCAAGCCACAATGAAGGAGTAGTGTTACGTTGAGGATGATAGAATAAGATAAACAGTCAGTCAAATTGGCGTGCTGGTCACCGCCATCCCTTCAAGGATAGCGACACACAGGTGATCGCCAAAAGAACCTCTTTAAGAACAGCAGCCTGGATAAGTGAAAGGTTACTGTGAGGTGCTGGTGACGTGATATCCCGTGCTGAAATGAGTGGTCAGAAGTTGTTATTATGTAACCGAGGGAGCGACATGTACCTTCATTGTTTCTGCATTTGTCATCAATATTCACGCACTGTATAACGTTTGTCTTCAACGAACAATATGGACTTTGATGACAGTATTAGTTTGTGATACCCATGGCGAACAGCTTCATGTGTGACAGGTTAGTAAAGCTGGTCTGTGACATGAGTTAGTCAGCTGGACAGCTGCATTTACATTTAGGTTAGTCACGTAGTAAATCTAGGTGTAAAGTCTTAGTCACGTTGTAAATCGTGTAGAGCCTTAGTCACGTTATAAATCTAGGTGTAGAGTCTTAGTCACGTAGTAAATCTAGGTGTAGAACCTTAGTCACGTAGTAAATCTAGGTGTAGAACATTAGTCACGTAGTAAAACTAGGTGTAGAGCCTTAGTCACGTAGTAAATCTAGGTGTAGAACATTAGTCACGTAGTAAATCTAGGTGTAGAGCCTTAGTCACGTAGTAAATCTAGGTGTAGAGCCTTAGTCACATAGTAAATCTAGAGGTAGAGCCTAAGGCACGTAGCAAATCTAGGTGTAGAGCCTTAGTCAGGAAGTAAATCTAGGTGTAGAGCCTTAGTCAGTTAGTAAATCTAGGTGTAGAGCCTTAGTCACATAGCAAATCTAGGTGTAGAGCCTTAGTCATGTAGTAAATATAGGTGTAGAACATTAGTCACGTTGTAAATCTAGGTGTAGAACCTTAGTCACGTTGTTAATCTAGGTGTAGAGTCTTAGTCATGTGGTAAATCTAGGTGTAGAGCCTTAGTCAGTTAGTAAATCTAGGTGTAGAGCCTTAGTCACGTTGTAAATCTAGGTGTAGAGTCTTAGTCATGTTGTTAATCTAGGTGTAGAGCCTTAGTCACGTTGTAAATCTAGATGTAGAGCATTAGTCACGTAACAAATCTAGGTGTAGAGCCTTAGTCACGTTGTAAATCTAGATGTAGAGCCTTAGTCACATAGTAAATCTAGGTGTAGAGCCTTTGTCACATAGTAAATCTAGGTGTCGAGCCTTGGTCACATAGTAAATCTAGGTGTAGAGCCTTAGGCACGTAGCACATCTAGGTGTAGAGCATTAGTCACATAGTAAATCTAGGTGTAGAGCCTTAGGCACGTAGCAAATCTAGGTGTAGAGCCTTAGTCACGTTGTAAATCTAGGTGTAGAGTCTTAGTCATGTAGTAAATCTAGGTGTAGAGCCTTAGTCACGTTGTAAATCTAGGTGTATAGTCTTAGTCATGTTGTAAATCTAGGTGTAGAGTCTTAGTCACGTTGTAAATCTAGGTGTAGAACCTTAGTCACGTTGTTAATCTAGGTGTAGAGTCTTAGTCATGTAGTTAATCTAGGTGTAGAACATTAGTCACACAGTAAATCTAGGTGTAGAGCCTTAGGCACGTAGCAAATGTAGGTGTAGAGCCTTAGTCATGTAGTAAATCTAGGTGTAGAGCCTTAGGCACGTTGTAAATCTCTGTGTAAAGCGTTGCTAGATGCATAGCGTTAGTGGCCAGCACGTTCCGGTGTATAACATTTCAAGAGACGTAGTAGTGAAGCAAATAAACACAGGGACATAAAGCACAAACTGTTACTGAGGATAAAAGTGCAACAGACATCGACGACAACATGAACGATAGTAACTGCAGTGCTACTTCAGCTCACATGATGTCCGTCGTGGATGTGGTGACCGTCACGGTCAGCCTGGTTCTGTGTGTGGTCATCTGTGCCGGCAACACGCTGACCATTGTAGCCGTGTGGAGGACCGCCTCTCTGCGCACCGTGCCTAACATGTACGTGGTGTCTCTAGCAGTGGCAGACCTCCTCGCTGGGGTCATGTCGTTGTACCAGTGTGTCAAATACCTACCAAACATGCAGAAGATATTTGACTGCTATAAATTTATGTGTCTGACGCGACACATGTTACTTGTGACGTCCCTTTGCGCCTCTGTGCTGACCATGGTAGTGCTAGCAGTTGACCGGCTGATGTACGTTAAATTCTGTCTACATTATGACCGGATGATAACGCCACGGCGGGCACTCGTCACTCTGGGTACCGCGTGGGGCTTGGCCATTCTGGGAGGGACCGTCTCTCTGTATCACAACTCGTGGGACAACGCGTCTCATTGTACCATGTTCCAAGTGTTCACAGTTTACCTCCAACTGTACTTCTTCGTCCCCTGCTTCGTTGTCTGCTGCACCATCATCGCCTGCTGCTATTGCTACATCGGCTCCATCTCCTACAGACATCGTCGCGACATCGTACGTCAGGAGCAGATAAGGACACCGAACATCCACACGTCACGACTTCGTCAGGGATGGCCGCTTATACAGATGTTCATATTGGTGTTTGGGACGTTCATGATGTGTTGGACGCCGTGCATGGTGGCGTTAGCTCTCGGGTACACCGTCGGAATCAGCACAGACGTCATGAACTTCCTCATTCCACTCGCAGTCACCAACTGCGGCATGAACTTTGTCATCTACGCTTTAAAAAACTCAGATTTCAGGAGGGCGTTTAAACAAATTCTCTGTCAAAGTCGTCGTTAGACAGGGCGGTAACAGATTACTGCTAAAGACATCTAGTTATGTTGTGTTCAGATCATATATTTGTCTGTTTACGATCATGTCCAAATGTCGTACTTCAATGTTTACTTAAATGTGTACACGTGTTTACATGTGAAGAGTTTAGAGCCATAAGGGCCAATGTCATGTGGAGTCCGTTTTCAGAAAAGCAATGAAAACCATAACCATACGCATGCTAATAAACATTTTTTATTCACATTCTGACAGCAGACATACAAATGTTGCTATAAAAAATATTTAAAAAAACACGAAAAAAACTTACGTTTATAATTTGTGTAAGAATGGAAAGGGCCAATGTTTGTATTTTGGCCCTTTTTGACCTCAGGCATTTGCATGGGATTTAACATGTGAGATTGATAAACTAGTAATGAAAGTATAAACACATACTACTGAAGCTCTTTCAAATGATTTAAACTGATGCCAACTTTGTTGAAATAATTTAAACATAATAATAATATTCACAAACCTTCATAATCTCTTGAACAACCAGTCTCGACCACACACAGAAATGAGAGCTAAAAGGGCCCAAATCTAGCAAAATCAGTTATATCAGTTATTTACAGTTTTATCAGTTTCCAATGTGTCAGATTATTGTGTCAGTGGTAAAGCTCTACAGCATAGATACGATGTTGACAAATGTAGAATATGATGATGAAGTAGGAGAATCTTAGATTTCGAGCGTCGATCAAAGAATCCGGCTATCTGGAGACGCACCAAAGAATAATTGAGCGAGTGAGTGAGCTGGCTTTAAATCGGCTTTGATCAGTTTTCTTGATGTGGAAGGAAAGCTCGAAACTATGCAGGACTTAGACGTTTACTTCTTTGGTAAAGCCTTGGATCATTGAGTGAGTGAGTTGGGTCTAACGCCGCTTTTAACATTATTCCAGTTATATCACGGCGTGTCAGCTTGATGTGGGAGGAAAGCCCGAAGTGATGCAGGTCTCAGACGTTTACCACTCCAGTGAAACCCACGAGCACGGGTATGGTGCTGACAAACCTAGAAACATAATCGGGGCGAACCGGGATTCGAACACACAATCATAGGTTTCTGGCGTGCCCAAGGGACGCAACTCTGCACAGCGAATCACGGTGCCTTAGACGACTGGGCCGCCCGTGCCCCCTTAACATGAATACCCGACTCAGACACAGTATACTGACTCCGACCAGTACTTCAAGTACCATGTTTTAACGTCTTTTGGTATGACGCGGCCGGGGATCGAACCCCGGACCTTTCGCTCTCCAGGCGGACGCGCTACCACTAGACCACGGAGGCGACCCTGCAGAGTAAGAATCGGTGTGTATAAATACCCCGTCCACATGCACCCCTATACACAGGAATGTATATTTGCATACGTGTGTAAATATACTCACGTGAGTATAGTTGTCATGTGAACGCGTTTACTCATGTGTGTATATTCAAATTGCACATTTCCACTGTATGTATCTGTTGTCGTGTGAAGCTTTATGCCAACGTCAGAGGATGATATGATTAATGTATTTGTTGATTTGCCAACACAAAGCAATTGGCAACAGTTCTGTGGTCTGAACATGACGTCTTCAGTATACAGTAATACCAACATTTATTACTTGCCCGTGAAGAGATCACCCGTTTAATAAACATACAGCTGTATTACACATTGTGTAATACCAAAACGCGTGCTTATGTACTCTCGGAACACGTTTCATGAACAAATATTGAAAGCTCTCAACATCCCTTGGCGTATTCAACGACATTGTGTGTGGAGATGATAGATCACTGGGAGGAGCTTATGCACACTCGATGACCCCAGCAACCTTGTTGCTAGGCTGACGTCACATGGCATTGTTTCGCCGATGGAACTTGCAACAAAATTCAACAAATTACGTCATCGGGTATAGTGACGTGATTGTAAACTTTAAGGTGCAAGGCCCCGTTCCACAAGGCGATCGTACTCTAGCGCAACGACAGTCGTTAGTCTAAGTTAAATTATGTGAGTTGTGATAGCCTTAGCACTACGATAATTTTGTGGGACGAACGCCTGAATTCTAAAGGTGGACCATTGTATGATATTAAATTCATACGTTTCAACTTTTGACGTGTTTGAAGTATTATTGTGTTAAACTCAATAGGATTATGCCATGGATCGTGTAGGTGTCAGCCTATTTACACTCAACAGTATAATTCTAAAAACATTATAAATGACAAGTAATAAATAAAATACTAAACTCGCTCTCGTGTAAAACCAATTTTATGAAACTCGTGAATAGTTGTGGTATCTGACTCGCTTTCGCTCGTCAGATACCAGAACTATTCACTCGTTTCATAAAATTGGTATTACACGGGAGCTCGTTTAGTATTCTATATTTATGCGACATCGAGAGCTGGGCGGACGGTGTTTTCTTTGGGTTTCAGGGAGTCAAAAAGTCACGTATAGATTAAATCAAACACATAAACTCACAAAAAACATGAAAAGGTGAGTGAGTGAGGGAGTATGGTTTTACGCCGCTTTTAGCAAAATTCCAGCAATATCACGGCGGGGGACACCAGAAATGGGCTTCACACATTGTACCCATGTCGGGGATCGAACCCGGGTCTTCGGCGTGACAAGCGAACGCTTTAACCACTAGGCTACCCGACCGCCCCATGAAAAGGTGATGTATGGTCAGACGAGTAATGTAACCGTGAAGATCCAGGGTAGAATAGGTCTTCAGAAAACCCATACTTGCCGTAAAAGGCGACTATGCGTGTCGTAAGAGGCGACTAACGGGATCGGGTGGTCAGGCTCGCTGACTTGGTTGATGCATGTCATCGTATCCTAATTGCGTGGATCGATGCTCAGGATGTCAATCATTGAATTGTCTGGTCAAGACTCAAATATTTAGAGACCGCCGTCATACAGCACGAATATTGCTGAGTGCTGCATTAAACAACAAACAAACCAAACATACCTTATTTAAACACTTTAGTTAATGGGGGGGTCCCAACCCGCACCACTAACTTTGTCACCTTATAACCTACCATTAGCTTTTGTTAATTGGCAAGTCATGATGTGATGGATCCAAATTTTGTGGAGAGTTTTCTCTCTGTGTGACGACTATTTGCCAATGACCACCGGCACATTTCGTTCTATCAGTATTAAATATATTTTACTGCCGCTTCAAACAACCATGACTTTCGGAGCCGCCTCAAATTGCTTGTGCTGAATGGAGTTGAGCTATCGCTGCTACTAGTCAAGTCGCGAGTACATTAATGAACGCTGCTTTTGTCCTCGTAACATGAAATAGATTCACAAAATATCGCGATGATTAAATAACGAGGATAGCTGCATATGTATTGATACATATACAGTGAAAACTGATAATCATTTCATTACTTACAGTAATAACAAAAAATACAAAGTGTTCTTTCAAGACTGAAAGTTTGATTTTACGCCGCTTTTAGCAATATTCCAGCAATATCACGGCGGGGTACACCAGAAATGGACTTCACACATTGTACCCATGTCGGGAATCGAACCCGGGTCTTCGGCGTGAAGAGCGAACGCTTTAATCACTAGGCTACCCGACCGTTCCTGCACAGGTAATACTCATATGGGATACATAACGTGCATCACCCCAGTCAACGAGCCTGGTCACCTGATCCCGTAACGCGCCTCTTGCGACAAGAATGGGTTGCTGAAGACCAGTTCTTCACGGGGGAAGGGGTGTGCTTTTGGAAATTACTGATGCACAGGCATTACTGGGTGTTACTGAATACATTATGGATACACAGGCATTACTGGGTGTTACTGAATACATTATGGTTACACAGGCATTACTGGGTGTTACTGAATACATTATCGATACACAAGCATTACTGGGTGTTACTGGGCCAATTATTGATGCATAGGCATTACTGGGTGTTACTGGGCCAATTATTGATGCACATGCATTACTGGGTGTTACTGGGCCAATTATTGATGCACAGGCATTACTGGGTGTTACTTGGCCCATTATTGATGCACAGGCATTACTGGGTGTTACTGGGCCAATTATTGATACACAGGCATTACTGGGTGTTACTGTGCCCATTATTGATGCACGGGCATTACTGGGTGTTACTGGGCCCATTATTGATGCACAGACATTACTGGGTGTTACTGGGCCCATTATTGATGCACAGGCATTACTGGGTGTTACTGTGCCCATTATTGATGCACGGGCATTGCTGGGAGTTACTGTATACATTATCAATACACAGGCATTACTGGATGTTACTGAATACATTATTGATACACAGGCATTACTGGGAGTTACTGTATACATTATTAATACACAGGCATTACTGGGAGTTACTGTATACATTATCAATACATAGGCATTACTGGGTGTTACTGAATACATTATAGATACACAGGCATTACTGGGTGTTACTGAATACATTATCGATACACAGGCATTACTGGGTGTTACTGTATACAAAGATACACAGGAAATTACTGATGCACAGGCATTACTGGGTGTTACTGAATACATTTTGGATACACAGGCATTACTGGTTGTTACTGGGCCCATTATTGATGCACGGCCATTGCTGGGTGTTACTGGGACCAGTATCGATACCCTGGCATTACTTGATGTTACTAAATACATTATCGATACACAGGCATTACTGGGTGTTACTGTATTTATGGATACACAGGCATTACTGGGATTTACTGGGCCCATTATCAATACACAGGCGTTACTGGGTGTTACTGAATACATTATGGATACACAGGCATTACTGGGTGTTACTGAATACATTATGGTTACACAGGCATTACTGGGTGTTACTGAATACATTATGGTTACACAGGCATTATTGGGTGTTACTGAATACATTATGGTAACACAGGCATAGCTGGGTGTTACTGAATACATTATCGATACACAGGCATTACTGGGTGTTACTGGGCCCATTATTGATGCAAAGGCATCACTGGGTGTTACTGGGCCCATTATTGATGCACGGCCATTGCTGGGTGTTACTGGGCCCAGTATCGATACCCTGGCATTACTGGGATCAACTGGGTCCATTATCGATACCCTGGCTTTACTGGATGTTAGTGAATACATTATTAATACACAGGCATTACTGGGTGTTACTGTATACATGCATACACAGGCATAACTTGGTGTTACTGGGACCATTATTGATACACAGGCATTGCTGGGTGTTACTGGGACCATTATTGATACACGGACATTACTGGATGTTACTGAATACATTATCGATACACAGGCATTACTGGGTGTTACTGTATACATGGATACACAGGCATTACTGGGAGTTACTGGACTCATTATCGATACACAGGCATTACTGGGTGTTACTGAACACATCGATACACAGGTATTACTGGGAGTTACTGGACTCATTATCGATACGCAGGCATTACTGGGTGTTACTGAACACATAATCGATACACAGGTATTACTGGGAGTTACTGGACTCATTATCGATACGCAGGCATTACTGGGTGTTACTGAACACATAATCGATACACAGGCATTACTGGGTGTTACTGGGACCAGTATTGATACACAGGCGTTACTGGGTGTTACTGGGCCCATTATCGATACCCTGGCATTACTGGATGTTACTGAATATTTTATCGATACACATGCATTACTGGGTGTTACTGTATACATCGATACACAGGCATTACTGGGAGTTACTGGACTCATTATCGATACACAGGCATTACTGGGTGTTACTGAACACATCGATACACAGGTATTACTGGGAGTTACTGGACTCATTATCGATACGCAGGCATTACTGGGTGTTACTGAACACATAATCGATACACAGGCATTACTGGGTGTTACTGGGACCAGTATTGATACACAGGCATAACTGGGTGTTACTGGGCCAATTATCGATACCCTGGCATTACTGGATGTTACTGAATATATTATCGATACACAGGCATTACTCGGTGTTACCTTATACATCGATACACAGGCATAACTGGGAGTTACTGGGCCTATTATCGATACGCAGGCATTACTGGGTGTTACTGAACACATTATCGTTACACAGGCATTACTGGGTGTTACTGTATACATGGATACACAGGCATTACTTGGAGTTACTGGGCCCATTATCGATACACGGGCATTACTGGGTGTTACTGTATACATTATCGATAAACAGGCATTACTGGGTGTCACTGGGCCCATTATCGATTAACAGGCATTACTGGTGGTTAATGGATACAATATTGATACACAGACATTACTGGGTGGTACTGGGCCCATTATTGATACACAGGCATTACTGGGTGTTACTGGGCCCATTATTGATACACAGACATTACTGGGTGTTACTGGGCCCATTATAAACACAGACACTACTGGATGTTACAGGGCCCATTATTGATACACAGGCATTGCTTGGTGTTACTGGGCCCATTATTGATACGAGTGCATTACTGGGTGTTACTGAATATATTATGGACATACGGGCATTACTGGGAGTTACTGTATACATGCATACACAGGCATAACTTGGTGTTACTGGGCCCATTATCGATTAACAGGCATTACTGGTGGTTAATGGATACAATATTGATACACAGGCATTACTGGGTGGTACTGGGCCCATTATTGATACACAGGCATTACTGGGTGTTACTGGGCCCATTATTGATACACAGACATTACTGGGTGTTACTGGGCCCATTATAAACACAGACACTACTGGATGTTACAGGGCCCATTATTGATACACAGGCATTGCTTGGTGTTACTGGGCCCATTACTGACACGAGTGCATTACTGGGTGTTACTGAATATATTATGGACATACGGGCATTACTGGGAGTTACTGTATACGTGCATACACAGGCATAACTTGGTGTTACTGGGACCATTATTGATACACAGACATTACTGGGTGTTACTGGGCCCATTATAGATACACAGACATTACTGGATGTTACTGGGCCCATTATTGATACACGGGAATACTAGGTGTTACTGAATACATTATGGATACATGGCCATTACTGGGTGTTACTGGGTCCATTATTGATAGAGGGGCATTACTGGGTGTTGCTGAATACATTATGGATACACGGGCATTACTGGGAGTTACTGTATACATGCATACACAGGCATAACTTTGTGTTACTGGGTCCATTATTGATACACAGACATTACTGGGTGTTACTGGGCCCATTATTGATACACAGACATTACTGGATGTTACTGGGCCCATTATTGATACACAGGCATTACTGGATGTTACTGGGCCCATTATTGATACACGGGCATTACTGGGTGTTACTGAATACATTATTGATACATGGGCATTACTGGGTGTTACTGGGTCCATTATTGATACACGGGCATTACTGGGTGTTACTGAATACATTATTGATACACGGGCATTACTGGGTGTTACTGGGTCCATTATTGATACACGGGCTTTACTGGGTGTTACTGAATACATTATGGATACACGGGCATTACTTGGTGTTACTGAATACATTATGGATACACAGGCATTACTGGGTGTTACTGGGCCCATTATTGATACACGGGCATTACTGGGTGTTACTGAATACATTATGGATACACAGACAGTTACTGGACACATAAAATCGACACGCAGGCATCACATGGCTTTTTCAACACTATATCCAACCTGCACGTATAATAATGTGCCTGTGTATATATCCACTCATGCATGTGCCATTCTCTCAGGCTCTACTAACGCGTTGAACTGTATCTGGATATTAATAATCCAGAGAATTCATATTTCCGCCTGATGATCCGCGCTTACTGGGGCGTCTCGGATTCACGTTAATATACACCGAAGTATGTCTGACCTATTTAACTGATCTCTAACAAATACAACGTGAGGGTGTGGGTACCTGCTGTGGAATGCACATACCCATGGACGTGTCCTCTGCACTCGCCGACCTCACAACACAATGAAACTAAGTCCAACAGTCGTATTAACTCGTCATTTACCGAACACGCTTGTCGATAAGGAAATTTCATGCTTTCGCTCAGTCATTCACAGATTTGGCGATGTTTGGCGATGTTTCTCGCTCACTGACGAGCGTATCGCCCTGGATCATATATGCGCATGAACTGAAAACTTCCAGCATTGCTTTGGTTCTGGTGTGAAAAACATGATGAGGATAACTTATGGCTTGCTGGCGTCTGGGTACAGTTTGAATGATATTTTATCAATTTACTGCTGTGCTACTGTTTAGCCGTGGAGGTCTGTGACCTCGGTTTCTCCAGCCGGAGTGGCCGGTATAGACAGCTGACCCAATCACATGAGATTACTCCCTCGACACGCGCATTCGCTTCCTCATGCGCTCCGGGGGTTGTAAAGGGACGGAGGGAGATGAGACAGGAGGGTGTGACCGAGGACTGACTCACTCCACGTGGGTAGAACACCATCGTTGTGCAGGATACGAGTGACAGTCACCGTCCTATATGTGCCCCGGTCTGTGTTTGCCCCACCGGGAAGGAAGTTTAGCAAGCCTAACTTGTAAGTGTTATTGATAGAGTTATAGCCACTTAGAGAGAGTTGTGTCATTATTTGTGTCAACATGTTTGTGAATTTGTCATATTGAAACTAAACACGGGCCGATATCCAGATTAAACAAAGAAGATGTCACCGACAATAAAACAGCTACATTAAACAGTGATTAAACGATACATTCGTCCGGGAATGGCATCGAGAGCACGGCTAATACATGGGATGATTCCATTTTGAAATCGCTTCATCATTGCGGGCAGGCGGATTCTCAGGGCGGAGTTCAGTCGGCGGTTGATGTGTGGGGAACTCTGACAGCTTCCGTGAATTCCACAACTGCTGGAGTATGTACTACCGTTTTGAAAGCCGGCGTGAGTAACGACTTTGCAGTAGTGTACATGACGTCGTTTCACCATGGAGTTAACGACTACCGCTTTTCTTGCAACCCCCGAGTACACGCCCAACAGTACGTATATTGAATCCAACACGAGCCATGTCGTCGAGTCAGACCGTGGACTAAATGTAGTAGACGCTGTCGTTATTGTCGTGCAGCTGTTGCTGTCCGTCGTCATCATCGGCGGTAACGTACTCACCATCTTAGCTGTGAAGCGGACACCACGGCTCCACACAGTGCCCAACATGTATGTCGTGTCTCTCGCCTTCGCTGACTTAATCGTGGGCATAGTCCTGCCCTTGTATGCTGTGAAAATGTTTCCAGGGATGGAGGACCTGTATAATGATAACAAATACCTCTGCCTCAGCCACCCGGTGGTGCTAATTGTGTCTGCAGGGTGTTCAATGGTGTCCATGGTCCAGATCTCCGTGGATCGTCTCATCTACATCGTCTACCCCTTAAGGTATGAATACATTGCAACAGCTCGCCGAGCTAGGATAGTCATCGGGACCACCTGGGCAGTGTGTCTCTTCTATGGTACTCTCCCCTTATACTATAACAGATGGGACGGTGTGAAGCCATGCGATGTGTTTACTATCTTACACACAGAGTACCAGATACATGGCCAAGTCACTATATTCTGCGTCTGTTGTGTGGTAGCGGGGGCTAGTTATGGGTACATCTTCAAGATATCACACCAACAGCGGAAGGCAATGCTGGATGTCACTCGCCAGAGCATTGAGACAGACACCCGGGTCGTGGTGTCCACCTTTAAGAGAGAATGGCCAATGATCAAAATGTTTTTTCTAGTGTTTGGTGTGTTCTTTGTCTGTTGGTTTCCCTCAATGGTTGGGATCGTGCTCGGAAATACAGTCGGGATCTCAATGACCGCCATGAATCTTATAGTAGCGTTCTGTTTGTTTAATTCTGGAATGAACTTTTTTATATATGGTATGAAAAACAAAGACTTCTACCGTGCGTATCGTCGGATGTTGTGTTCTGAACGGTTCCGTTACTCTGAACGCTCGGACACAGCCGCCAGGTCCGCTTCAGGCAATGAACTGATACATACGTGATACCGCGTGGATAGTACGGTGACACCATTCAAAATGCAGTGTACACGATACGGAGATGCAGAAATGGAGTCACGATGGAGTCACGATGCAACATGGATGGTACGGTGATGCATAATTGATACAACATGGAAGATACGTCGATGCATGATCGATACATGGATGATACGGTGATGCATAATTGATACAACATGGATGATACGGTGATGGATAATGGATGGTACGCTGATGCATAATTAATACAACATGGATGATACGGTGATGGATATTGTATACATGGATGATACGCTGATGCATAATTGATACAACATGGATGATACGATGATGCATAATTGATACAACATGGATGATACGATGATGCATAATTGATCCAACATGGATGATACGATGATGCATTTTTGATACAATAAGGATGGAACGGTGATCGACTCACGATACAGCATGGATGGTACGGTGTATATGTCGCAGCGATACAGACATGATGCGAGGATATAGTGAGGATAATGACTGATACGTTTTCCCGATACACCATGGATGATACGGTGTGTATGTCACAGTCACAGTGATACAGGCATGATACGATATAATGATACAGAGTGGATATTACGATGATACACAGGATTCAGTTAGATGATAACGACACACTATCGTCGTCGTCACACATTATAGCTAAAATGGATAGAATAATCATTAATGTTTTCAGCATGTTATCAGATTTGCTTTGCTTGTTGTTTAACGCAGCACTCATCAATATTCCAGCTATATTACAGCGGTCTGTAAAACAATCGAGTCTGGACCAGACAATCCAGTGATTGACATCATGAGTATCGATCCACGCACTTGGGATCGATGACCTGCATCAACCAAGTCAGCGAGACTCACCACCCGATACCGTTAGTCGCCGTTTACGACAAGCATAGTCGCCTTTTACGGCAAGTATGGGTTGCTGAAGACCTATTCTACCCCTGGAATCTTCACGGGTCGCATGTTATCAGAAATAAGCGGGCCACTGTAACTTGATAATGCCCTTATATTGCTTGACGACGGACCATTATCACGCACGTTGTTAGGTGACGTCATACGGATATGGAAAGGTGACGTCATGTTCAATAGTTACGTCATATGGTTTGTTCTATGACGTTTCTATATTCGTAAAAGTGGGTCAGTGAAATTCGTGTTGATTGCACTAAATGTTTCAAAACCGATATTGTTGTTTATTTTTATTTGATAACAAATTCTATCCGTTTTAGCTAGTGACTGAGTGAGCCGGGCAGTTAATGAAAGACCTCGGGCTTCTGCAAATGATAATACCCTGAAAAATTGCGTAACCCTTATAGTATACTATAGTTATTCAGTCAAGGTACGGTGTGATATACCTGTCATGGATTAACATACGAGTTATTCAGTCGAGGTAAGGAGCGGGATATTACTGTCACGGTACACGCGTTATTCAGCCAAGGGGGCAGCGGGGTAGCCTAGTTGATAAGCGTTCGTCACGCCAAAGACCCGAGTTCGATTCACCACATTGGTACAATGTGTGAAGCCCATTCGTGTCCCCGCCGTGATAATGCTGGGATATTGCTAAAAGCGTCGAAAACCATACTCACTCACTCACTATTCAGTCAAGGTATAGACGATATTTCATGTGTCGACTTAAATATCACTTTTCTCTCATCGAGTGACGGTGGAAAAGGAGGTCAAGAGGTGAGAGAAACATGATATATGAAATATCCTATTTATTATATACTTTCTGTGTAGTTGTATACCGGAAAATTAAATTATTTCATTACAAATGTAAAAGCTTGAAACGTAAATTATCCCTTCCTAACACACAGGGGAGGTTCATCACCCCTTGTATTTGCGAAAGTAGTTTCGCGTTTGCAAACTCTTAGAAAATATAAACAAAAGTATCAAAAAATATTTAGGGTCACGAAAATTCTTTATCATACATTTCGATATGATTATATACAGAATCAACTTTAATAAAAATAGTCTTGAAAACTAGGAGACCGCCGTTGGAAGCGAAAGGATACACGCTGTTAAACACATCTGTGACGTCATTCTATTGTTTGAACGCTCCATTATTTTTCAGGAATTGAGAGATGCTTGTCAACTGTACATTATCTTGAAGCAGCATTTGAATTTTGAAATATTTTCAACTACAGAATATTTTGTCAAAGTGTAAAAGTAGGGATGAGTTTTAAGTAGGGGAATATCCTCGTAACTCTCCATTCCTTAAAAATAATGGGCCTCGACCCCTGCGGGGCCTCTGCTCCATTATTTTTAAGGAATGGAAGGTGACTCGGACATTCCCCTCTACGTCAAGTAACAAAAATGGCGCTTTGCGAAACGAACAGTCTCGATTGACGAGTTAAATGAGAAATTCACAGTTTATAACGAAACATTTTCGAGAGGATACCAAACTGCAAGATGATATTTACTCCATAGATGACCATCTGTCATTTTTTTTGTCTTGTCAATGTGGAACTAACGTAAAAAGGGCGTCAACAGTTTGTGTACGGGCTTGACACTTACGTTAAAGGGAGATAATTTAAGGGGAGGTAACTGTTTTAAGAAAATAGTTCCGTCAAAGTGTTATGTTCACTGCAGTGAAATATCAAGTGTTATGTTCACTGCAGTGAAAAATATCACTTTTCTCAACAACAGAGAACTCAGTGTTTCACACTGAAGTATATAATAAATGGTGTTATGTTTCTGTCACGGTACACGTATTATTAGGTACGGTGTGATGTTACGTAAGGATTGCAGCGAAGGAACAGTGTCAGGTGATAAGACTGTCCAGAGTATGCGGTTACATACCATGATGCCTGTTTGCGTCCCTCACAGTTAGCCTCCTATGCGCATATTATCATCCACAGCGCCAGCAGGGCTGCATGTGTAGCGAACGCGTGTATAATGAATGTCCAGATATCACGCGAGATAGAGTTGTAGACTCACGTGGGATAAGGCTGACTACACACAGACGGGATCAGGGACTTAAGCGAGAGCTGTTCGATTGACAGTCGCAGGTGCTCATCTCGTATGATGATTTATTCATACGAACACATCAGGGACACAAGCCCGCCTCAATAGGAGACATGTCTTATTGTGTTTAATAGTCGGTGAACATCAGAACACATTCACCGTGTTGAAATTGTCCGCGAACAGCAAAACATTCTTGCTGTGTTAAGACTGAGGGAGAAAATAAGAACATTCTAACTATGTTCAAAGAAAGGGCGTATATCAGAACATTCTCAGTGTGTTCAAAGACAGGGCGAATATCAGAACATTCTCACTGTGTTCAAAGAAAGGGCGTATATCAGAACATTCTCAATGTGTTCAAAGAAAGGGCGAATATCAGAACATTCTCACTGTGTTCAAAGACAGGGCGTATATCAGAACATTCTCACTGTGTTCAAAGAAAGGGCGTATATCAGAACATTCTCAATGTGTTCAAAGAAAGGGCGAATATCAGAACATTCTCAATGTGTTCAAAGACAGGGCGTATATCAGAACGTTCTCACTGTGTTCAAAGACAGGGCGTATATCAGAACATTCTCACTGTGTTCAAAGACAGGGCGTATATCAGAACATTCTCACTGTGTTCAAAGACAGCGAATATCAGAACATTCTCACTGTGTTCAATAGAATAGGTCTTCAGCAACCCATACTTGCCGTTACAGACGACTATGCTTGTCGTAAAAGGCGACTAACGGGATCGGGTGGTCAGTCTCGCTGACTTGGTTGATGCAAGTCATCGATCCCAATTGCGTGGATCGATGTTCATGATGTCAATCACTGGATTGTCTGGTTCAGACTCGATTATTTACAGACCGCTGTCATATACCTGGAATATTGCTGAGTCCGGCGTAAAACAACAAAACAACCATTGTGTTCAAAGACAAGGCGAATATTAGAACATTCTCACTGTTTTCAAAGACGGGGCGAACATTAGAATATTCTCACTGTGACAAAAGAGAAGAGGAATATCAAAACATTCTCACTGTGTTTACAGACAGGGCGGACATTAGAACATTCTGACTGTATTCAAAGACGACGAATATCAGAACATTCTCACTGTGTTCACAGACAGGGCGGATATTAGAACATTCTGACTGTATTAAAAGACGACGAATAACCGAAACTTCCTCACTGTCTTTGAAGAAAAGGCGATCACCAGAACTGTCTAACTGTGTTCACAGACAGGGCGGATATTAGAACATTCTGACTGTATTCAAAGACGACGAATATCAGAACATTCTAACTGTCTTTGAAGAAAAGGCGATCATCAGAACTGTCTAACTGTGTTCACAGACAGGGCGGACATTAGAACATTCTGACTGTATTCACAGACAGGGCGGACATTACAACATTCTCACTGTGTTCACAGACAGGGCGGACATTACAACATTCTGACTGTATTCACAGACAGGGCGGACATTACAACATTCTCACTGTGTTCACAGACAGGGCGGACATTACAACATTCTGACTGTATTCACAGACAGGGCGGACATTACAACATTCTGACTGTATTCACAGACAGGGCGGACATTACAACATTCTCACTGTGTTCACAGACAGGGCGGACATTACAACATTCTCACTGTGTTCACAGACAGAGCGGACATTACAACATTCTGACTGTGTTCACAGACAGGGCGGACATTACAACATTCTGACTGTATTCACAGACAGGGCGGACATTACAACATTCTGACTGTATTCACAGACAGGGCGGCCATTACAACATTCTGACTGTATTCACAGACAGGGCGGACATTACAACATTCTGACTGTATTCACAGACAGGGCTGACATTACAACATTCTCACTGTGTTCACAGACAGAGCGGACATAAGAACAGTCCAACTGTTGAAAGAGAAGGCGATGAGAGAATTTTCTCACTGTTGTATCGTGATATCAAGCGCTCGGCGTCCGCCCTGTTTGATGCGACGTACTTTGAGGCACGTGGTAGCGTGGTGAGAGAAAGACTGAATTGAATGGAAATGTATACATGAGTTGATAGATATGTAGAGGTTACGATGAACGTCTTAATGACCGAGCATATTGTATATACAGTGAAAGGTGACGAGTTAACTTGTTACATGACATTGATGAAGTAACTTTATCTTTATGTGGCTGTACATAAACACTGTCGTTCCATATTATTTTCTTATTTTTCATTTTATTTGCAGCAAATTTACAAAATGTGATATAGTTGAATAAAGTTACGAGTACTAGTCAGCACTGATATGTAGTACATTGTGTTGTTCATTCCGTGTGAGTGAGTGAGTTTGGTTGGGTTGGGCCGCTTAGAGCAGTAATACATATATATCACGGCGCGTCAGCTTGATGTGGGAGGAAAACCCGAGCGTATCGTAAGAGTGAGTGAGTGAGTTGGATTTAACGTCGCTTTAAGCTGTAGTAAAGTTATATCTCGGCGCGTCAACTTGATGTGGGAGGAAAGCCGGAGCTTGTCGTAAGAGTGAGTGAGTGAGTTGGGTTTAACGCCGCTTAGAGCTGTAGTACAGTTATATCACGTCAGCCTTGTCAGCTTCGTCCGCTTCGTGCCGAGATAACACATGGCAGTATATTAGTATATGGCAAATACTAGGCATGATTGGGCTTGGGAACTCGAACAGGTTTCTAATGACAAATCAGTTATTGGTGATGTGACATTGCAGCGTGGTCGAGGTAGCATAAGCATTGACAGACAGTGAACACTGTTAGGCTAAAAATTAAACGCTGTGTTAAGGACCACCCCGGCAGGCAATAAAGGGATCGAACTACACAATCGGTTGAAGCCTGCAGGATTAGAATGCCTCACTGTGAGTT